GCTTACAGATGCTGCTAATCAGACAACAGTCAGGCACCTGATTATCAACACCTGGCGTACCAGAAACTCAGCACAACTCAATAGCACATACTTCACATGCAATTCAAGTAAATAAATTTGAGACTGGCACTATGCATAAATTTAGTCAATAAATACATACAAGTGGCAGCCCCTACAAACAAACAAATATGTCAAGCGATATATATGAAGTTTATTATACCAAGTGATAAGCAGCACACAGGAAAACTTAAATAAGAGTGTAAGATTGCCATACATCTCATAGGAAGAGTAATAGCATTTTAATATAATTACAAATGCTTTGAACCTGGCAACTGCTCTGCCAGGAAAAACAAAGTGACTGAATGAATTAAACTGTAAAGTGTTCAGTAATTACAGAGATTAGTGGTGGCTAAGGTGAAAAGCAGGATGACCAGAATAAAAGGTGAGCTACATTTTATGAAAAACTGGTTTGCCAACTTCTGTGACGATTTCCAGTAAGTCATACTATGACATACGTTGACGTTTTTTAGTTTAGGTGAACTCACATGGCTGAAAGCACTGTACTTCCCTCTTCACCTCGGAAAGTTGCTCTTATATCCACTGTGTTGTTTGTGTGTGCTGTTTTTCTACAATTGTTAAACAATAAAAAGAAAGTGCAAGCTACACCTGTTGAAAACAAATGAATGGCAAGTACTGAGCAAATATATATAAATATCTTTTTGAAAACCCAATGTATTTCAGTTAATTCCACAGGAAGGAAAATAAGTTCATACTGAGCAGTTAACCATCAGGGTGCAATCAAGGATCTGGCTATTTGTTCTATTATGATGATTTGTAGTTCCTTTGAAGCTTTAAAGTGTTAGTCCTTACATACTGCATCAGTATTGTCCTAACTCAGTCACTCAGATTTGGAGAATGGCAAAGCTGAAGAGAATTTCACAGCAAATCTATAGTAGAATATTAAAAAAAGAAAACTTCAGTTCTCAAGCACTTCCAATAGTAACTTGAAGTAAAACTAATTTCATCTATGCTTCCCCTGTTACTACACTTAACATACTTTTAATGAGGAAAAGCTCTCATTATATGTACCAGTACTCCTATCATGCAATTAAACATTTAGTGACATTTACTCATTTTGAACTATGTGGAGCATTTTTACTATTTAACTTGACCTGCATTATATAAAGATGTAAGTTTCAGTGCACATACCTTTGGTTTGTGGTTTTTCAGGTCATGTGACACTCTTTAATATTGGAGGGAGGAGCAAATCATGTCATCTAAGTAAAGTGTGCAGACACAGAAAACAAACAGTCAGAGTCTGAGACAATCTGGGAGTAGTGAGTAGTAGCAGAGTTCATTATGGATAAAAGAATACTTTGCTGGATATGTCTCCTGGCATATTTTCAGACATCTTTGGCACAAAGTAAGTGTTTTTTGCAAGTTATAGCATTGTTTGTACTTTTTATATTAGACAGCTTTAGAGTGATTCAACTACAACAAATGTAGTACAATACTAAAACAAAATGATAATAGCACAGACTCCACAAAATATTAATAATCAGTTTTTTTTTTAACTGTAGTACTGTGAGCAAAATTTTGGTTACCTCCAAGAACATACATCCTGGGATCACTGGAATGCACAAACTCCTGGAGAATGAAGACTTCAGTGATCCCATGTAACAATATGACTAGAGCATCCAAGGTGCTCTAGACATATTGTTACAATTTAATAAACACAAATAAATCCCCCAACTTATTTGTGTTTATTAAATTGTAACAATATGACTAGAGCACCTTGGATGAGTAGGTTTAATGACAGTTTATTAAACTGTAACATTGGATTGGGTGTATGATATATGTAATGATATGGCATATAAAACCCATTTTCAGTTCATGTTTTTTAGAAATCAAATTTTCTGTCTACAGATGGCTTCTTTGAAACTAAGTGAAGTTAAATATTTTCATGCTCTGCTGACCACACAGCACATATTCAAGATAGAGCTTAACATGTTCAATAAAGCTTACCTTAAGTTAGTGCTTCTAAGCTTATACTTGAAACTCCTGTCAATATCAAATGATTGCATGGAATGACTTTGAGTTGCTACTAAGATTAGTAGACAGATTATTTTCTGTCGAGTTATTTGGAGAGGGGCCAGCAGTCTGTGGCTGTTACTGAAATTATGAATGAAAGTTTCATCGTGTTAAGTCATTCTAATCTGCGCTTAACTCACTGTCTTTAAGCAACCACAACTGCAGCACAAACCACAACAACTACAACTGCAGCACCAGCAACCATAACTGCAGCGCCAACCACTACAACTGCACCAACAACCACTACAACTGCAACGCTAACCGCAACTGCAGCACCAACCACACCTGCATCACCAACAACCACTACAACTGCAGCACCAGCAACCATAACTGCAGCGCCAACCACTACAACTGCACCAACAACCACTACAACTGCAACGCTAACCGCAACTGCAGCACCAACCACACCTGCGTCACCAACAACCACTGCAGCACCAACAACCACACAACTGCAGCACCAACAACCACTGCAGCACCAACAACCACTACAACTGCAGCACCAGCAACCATAACTGCAACAGTAACCACAACTACTGCACCAACAACCACTGCAGCACCAACAACCACTACAACTGCAGCACCGGCAACCATAACTGCAACAGTAACCACAACTACTGCACCAACAACCACAACACTAACCACCACTACAACTGCAGCACCAACCACCACTACAACTATAACACCAACCACAACTGCAGAACCCAACCACAACTGCAGCACCAAGAATACAACTACAGCAACAACCACAACTGCACTACCAACCACCACAACTACAGCACCAACCAACACAACTACAACACCAACCATAACTGCAGCACAAACCACTACAACTGCAGCACCAGCAACCATAACTGCAGCGCCAACCACTACAACTGCACCAACAACCACTACAACTGCAACGCTAACCGCAACTGCAGCACCAACCAACCATCACCAACAACCACTACAACTGCAGCACCAGCAACCATAACTGCAGCGCCAACCACTACAACTGCACCAACAACCACTACAACTGCAACGCTAACCGCAACTGCAGAACACCAACCAGTCACAACAACCAACTGCAGCACCAACAACCACTACAACAGCACCAGCAACCATAACTGCAGCGCCAACCACTACAACTGCACCAACAACCACTACAACTGCAACGCTAACCGCAACTGCAGCACCAACCACACCTGCGTCACCAACAACCACTGCAGCACCAACAACCACTACAACTGCAACGCTAACCGCAACTGCAGCACCAACAACCACTGCATCACCAACAACCACTACAACTGCAGCACCGGCAACCATAACTGCAACAGTAACCACAACTACTGCACCAACAACCACAACACTAACCACCACTACAACTGCAGCACCAACCAACCACTACAAAAAAACCAACCAAACACAACGCAACCACAACTGCAGCACCAATGAATACAACTACAGCAACAACCACAACTGCACTACCAACAACCACAACTACAGCACCAACCAACACAACTACAACACCAACCATAACTGCAGCACAAACCACTACAACTACAGCACCAACAACCACAACTGCAGCGCCAACTACTACAACTACAACTAAAACTGCAGCACAAAGCACCACAACCCCTAGAGAAGGGTCAACCACCATTCAAAGTATGTGATTTAAATTAAAAGTACTTAATGTGTGCAACAGTTTCTCTTCCTACCTTCTGTTGTCCTTCCAACATTCACACTCTAATACTAGGGTGGGAAACTCCAGGCATCAAGGGTTGAAGTCCTGCAGGTTTTAGATCTCACCCTGGGTCAACACACTGGAATCAAATGATTAGTTCATTACCAGGCCACTGCAGAATTTCAAGACATGGTGAGGAGGTAATTTAGCCATTTAAATTAGCTGCGGTGGTTCTAAAACCCGCAGGACACCAGCACTTGAGGCCTGGAGTTCCCCCACCCAGGGTTGGACTGGGACAAAAAAATGGCCTAAGCATTTTGACTAGAGACCAGCCCACAAAGTACTATAGGAAAAGCCATAAAGCCTCAAATGCTGTTGTGACTCCTGGTTTCATCTAAAAATCTAAAAATGTTATAGTGTAATTGTTTCAGTATTGAGGGAAATGTGCCTTATAGCAATAATCAAATGCATTTTATGATGTATAATTACTTTACACTTACCAATTATACTTTTATAATTCTTTTTTTCAGTTCCAACAGGCCCACAAGCACTTGCACATCTAAAGATAAGGATGACTACATACGGGCAGGTTAGCAATGCAACCATCATTGCCCTTCTTGAACAGGTATAGCTATATCTTAAAGTTTGCTTCGTACATTCTTGACTTATCAGTAATTTCACACACACAAATCATGTCTTAAAAATTCAAATGTTTAATCTCTGTGTTTTCTTTCCATTTAGTTTAACACCAAGGTCCTGAATGGAATACCCCACATTCTCTCTGTGACAAACATTAAAAAAGTTGGAGCATAAAAATTGAATGTGGACACAAGTCAAAAATAAAAATATAAAGGCAAGAATTTAACAGTGAGTTAGTAGATTTGTTTCAACATGATCCGGAGCGGCAGTTTGCCTCAGTCGCTTCATCATATCCTGAATGATTAGTACATTGGTGTGAGAAGGAGACATCAGCTGTGCTGCAGTGGTCGACAGCCAGATGGGCTTGGATTGCTCTGTGAATGTATGAAACCTAAACCTGGGTGAAAGCAGATCATATTTAAATATCAATCCCCTTACATGATCATTTCTGAAATTAAATCAAACTGCAGAAACACAATGCTGTAGTTCCCATGAATTACAAATGCGCTTTTGGTTTATCATCTTGAAAAGTACAATAGGCATCTCAAACCAGGCAGCTGGCTAATAATGTCAATACTTACTCACTCTGACAAAATGGTGACTAGGAAATCAAATAATTTATATGCTTTGAAACAAAAAGAATATTTTATTTATTGGTTACATGTTTTAGAAATATCATTTAAAAGTACAGATCCGGAAAAGCATTAATTGTACTGCACACACAGCTAGGCCTCTGAGAAAGTGGGTGACACTCAGTGGGTGAGAATTCCACAGGTGTTGAAAGGTGTTAGCTTACTGCTCACCGTGTCAATAGATTTTAATTAAATTTCCGTAACAGATTCTTGTTAACTCGGCTTTTCCACATGGAAAACAAGGAAAATTATTACCGTTGGTGCATAAATACTGCACCCTAATGAAGAAAATAAATCAGTTTTCAGATATTACTGACCAACAACACACTTTTTCCCCTTTGTGGTATTAGAATCAAATCTGTTTTTCAGAATTTGTTTTTGTATGTCTGCTGATTTGTACTGTACTTTAAACTGTGACTAAATTTTATAAACTTGTCACTCTTGCTACTAAAGTCTCATATACACAGAAATATATCCGATTCTGATTATTCTGAATAAAGAGATAACCATTTGTAATGGCCATTCTTTGTATCATTTATTCTTTCAGAATTCTTTTTAAATGAAACTTTATTCAACTTGTGAATTTAAAGCAGATTTATACCCATATACAGAATATCAACAACAACAGCTGTTAGAAAATACAAGAGAAAGTGAAAACATAGATTGCTATTCAATGTTAAATGTGCTCTTCGTAAGTGCCATTTTAATAATTAATGAAAGAAAACACACACACCTTATCTGCATCAACAAATAAACTCAACATGGATCCATCAACTCTGACTTGGCCCTGCCAAAAACATCTAAGACCTTGTGTGTTGAGTACCATTCCTTCCCGTTCTTTTAAAATACATGATTCTACTTATCAAAAAATGCGCACAGGTTCTATTATAAACACCACACGGTTTAAAACCATCAGACTGAGGTCTTTACAAAATACAAACACTGGTCTAATCTACAGCATCGTGTCACCAGCACCAAAGTGCACACAGAGCAAATTGCGTCCTTTTAGTCATGTTGTTAACATCACACAGAAACGTTTAATCTCCAGTGAGAGGGAATTCTCTTCATAATCTCATCATCACTTCTCTTCAGTTGTCCTCTCCGTCTCGCAGCACCTTGTGCACAGCTCTGTTTAACAGGGCCAGCAGGTCCACAGCCCCAGCCACTCCCCTTGGCAGGTAGAGCTCCAGAGAAGAGGAGGTGGCATGAGGCAGGCGCAAATCTTGCATGCTGGCATCCTGTGAAAAAAAAAAAAAAAAAAAAAGGAATAGTGAGGGAAATGTGACAAAGATTCATCTCTTGACAAAGGAAAAGGAGCTATATTTTATCACCTTGGATAGTTGATGCTGGTGGTGATTCTTGTGAATTTGAATCACAATTAAAGGCAGGATTTTAAGGATTTTTATGTTAAACACCAACCTGAGAGTAAAAACACAGAGAGATGAATCTGGGGAAGCCAAGAGGAGGCAAACGGTCAGCTCCTGTGATGAAGGTGAGGAGGTCTTCAAAGGAAAACTCTGCCTTGCCGTCTGATTGTGCAAACAGAGACATATTTTATCTAACCTGAAACACTAGAAGCATCTTTATTCTTTCCACCACACCCTCCAACCTTACCACGCACTAAAGTGAGGATTGTTTCCCAGTGTCCAGCTGTGGCCTCCTCATCTGCCCTCAGTTGGGCATCTGAAGTGCTAAAGCTGATGGTAAAAAGCTGCTTGAACTCTTCCAGACTCAGAGGCTGCTGCGGTGCACTCGTCATAACTGGGGCAAAAATTTCCCAGTGGGACTGAACCATGTCCCACAGCCCACCACAGCTATTCAGCCCCTCAGTAAACTGGGAGATCATTTTAGTCACCCTGAAGGACAGCAAGTGGATTAAATTTAACTTTTGTATTTAGAAAGGGCAACATTTGCATGTAGCTCAAGTTGAAACTGTCGACACCATGTGTATGACGTATGCTTCTGTGTGTGCACTACCTGTCGTAGATGTAGTGTTTTACCAGGCGACTATAAATGGCTGGCATTTCATCCGAATTGGCTGAACAGATCTCAGGGATCCCACAGCGTGACACCCAGTCGCACAGACTGGGAGACAGCAGCTTTACATCAGTACAACTATGTAGCTGTGAGAGCAGAGGAAAATCATTTGTGTGCGGCACACAGAAGGCAATTATGTACACAGGACTGAGGGTTTAATACAGAGAAGAGTTTAAAGGTGAGGGGGGAAAACTGCCATACAAACAGTTCATCATTCTACAGCTGAAGGCAGAAACAAGATTATGTTATTCAGCACTGTAATTATGCAACAGTCACATTAGGAAACCACTACAATTGCCATGGTATATGCAGTGATCTCACAATCTCATCGAAATGGTTACTTAAGACAGGGACCAGGTCTGTGACCTGTGTTCAAAGGGACTATCACACATCAGGAGGGTGATTGAATGGCAGTAAGATGCAGTCTGCTATCAGACTGTATTGAATAGGGTCATTTGGCAGTTACAAAGTCTTTTGTCATCTGTTGCTTTCTCTACTACACAGAAACTCACAGTTCCCAGTTATTTTTAGTGTCCAAGCAGAACCTCACAAATATGAAAAAGAAATTCCTTCACAAGTTGTTGCACAACCAACTTCTGGGCAACCGGTGGGTTGGTGCAGCTATGAGGTTACCATCCTATTTTTACTCCAGTGTGACCGAGCCATCAATAAAATAACTGGTTTTTATTAATATCATCGTTATCCAAACTAACCATGTATAATAACACAGGTACAGCAGTATATCAAGTTTTTAAATATGTTACAATTAGAGTTGTGAGTTTTCTTCTTGTGTGCTACCTCTTTCAGTTGGATTTGGACTTCGGTATCAATAATGTCCCGCCAGTTGAAGTCTTCTAATGTTATACTGTGGCAACACATCACCTGTGACAGTAAAATAAGCCATACAGACAAAGATTGTGCTGGTAATACCTGACACAGCTACAGGGCATCAGAAAAAGTAATCTAATATCACATTCGCAAAGAATAGGCAATACTATATGACAAATTCTTGTAGTGCCTACACTAGCACACATTCAGTTAAGGACTCTACCTGATACAATGCAGGGTGAAGGCAACAAAGTCCAGGCCCACCCTGAGCCAGCGACCAGCCAATGAGAACCCCAGCTTCATAGTACTTCCTCTCCTCAAGAGCTGTGAAGTTGCAGGTCATGAACAGACTTCCTGGAAGACCCTCAAACACACAGCTGTGCTGCAGCTCCAGCAGCATCAGCCTGCATGAGAAGAAATGTAGACATGAATTAACAAATGACACCTTTATGCTTTGGTGTTTTGGCAGAAACCTCTTTCAGAAGAACTGAACATTTCTCCCAGAATGGTGGAGCACCAAAACAAACAAAACAAAACAAAACGAAAACGAAACCTAGATGCCATTATTATGTCATTCATCAAAGAAAAATCAGCTGCTACCTTTCCATGTTGTATTGCTGTAAATACCATCTGTTCACATATTTGGGGTTTTGGACGGTTGATCAAACAACACAATCAGTTTTAATACCACACCGTCTTCTGGGATCCTGAACTATCATGATGAGCATTTGACACAATTTTCACATTGTTTACTGCAGCCCCAAAATGTATAGAATATGATCCTATTATAGACTACATGCTACCATGTGGAAATCTTTTTGTGAGCCAGTTTTCCAATTACAAAAAAAAGTGAATATTAAATCTTGATGAAATTCATACAGTTATGTTGGATTAGAGTTTGAATAAATTAGCTTCAGTATAGAAAACCATACGACTTGTTTTATGCCTGAAGCCATCAGCTCCAGCAATAATTTCAGGGAAATGGTGAGGACCTGAAAAACTCCCTGACAGGGGCCTCGCGGCTGTCGGGCTCTTCTCCACTGAAGGAGATAACAGGCGTCGCCCTGAAGCAGAAGTCGGGCCTCCTCACCACCTCCAGAGCGCCGTGGAGTAGATCTGTCCGCCTCACCTGGATGTGAGTTTTCAGTCCTGGATCTACGTTCTCCTGTCTGAACGCTCTCAGGATGGTGTCCAGGTCAACAGTGGACTGCGCACAAAAGATGCAAGTTTAACAGGAGACAAAGATAATAATAATAATAATAATAATAATAATAATAATAATAATAATAATAATAATAATAATAATAATAATAATAATAATAATAATGCAACAAACTGAATTTAGGATTGACTTTTTTTATCTTTTATCCTCCAAACTCACCTTCTTTGTATCCCTGCAGATGCTAGGCTTGATTATTAGCTCACTTTTACCATCTTGGCAGCTGTCTGTGCTGCCCCCCAAACACACACAAATTCAGATAATGCAGCTATTTAGTTTGTCACTAATCATTTCTAAATGTGTATTCACAGGAAATGTTTTCTTGCCTTTTTACCACAAGTGTCTCACTTGCTGACCCTTCAGATTCTGTCTGTAAGGAGAAGAGAACTTTATAAACTACAGAAAAAATGGAGGCAGACTGAGCAAAGATAAAGCAGATTGGAGAAATAAACGAAATAATTAAAGATCCCGTGTTCCCCGGTTCACAGGAACAAGGCGTCCAGGGGTCCATAAACACTTGCTGTCGTTTCTGTTTTTTCACAGAAGCCAAATGATCTTTAAACTGAATCTTAACACACAAAGTTGTCTTTATGGCTTTTGAAATATAAAAATGTATCAAATCCAAGTCCTACTTTTATAATGATCACATCAGGGTATTAGTAATGAAGCAGCAGTAGTTACCTCTGAGTAGTCGTGGTGGCTCAGGATATATAAAGCACCATGTTCAGAGATCCTGAGGACCTGCTCTCCAGTCCAGCCCTCTGAAGGGGTGTCGGGGACAAACAGCACTCTGGAGCTCTGCACACACTGGAAACAACCACCACATTCAGCAATGTTCTGTGTACTAAAATGAACAGACTTTAAGACACCTCAGGCAGAACACATCTCACACCCACCTGCAGATATGTAAATGAAAACTTTTGTCCTGCCTGTTTTACAAAGTGCCCCTGAAAGAGCATCGCCAGTCGACCCTTCACCTGAGTGGCTGACCAGCTGTGGTCAATGGTGATGCGAGCAGTCATCATCATGGCTTCCAGAGCTGCTTGGTCTTTATTCTTTGGAACTATTTGTCTGGAAGAACAGAAAAATAACATTTACTTCACTGAAAAATGTTATGAACAGTAGAGTAGATTCAAACAGAGCTATGTAAACACCTTTTATTGCCACAATCATCACTTTAGAAACCGTGGAAGCTACTCAAACATTCACTGACCTAAAATGGCATTTTGAATAAAATTTTATAGTATTCTGGTCATTAGATTTAAAAATAAATAAATAATCACAGGGCAGTGAAGGCACAATTTGCAAATCACATGACAAGGAAAATATTCTGATCAATCTCGGTTCTTTGAAAAGTCAGAGGAATCATCAGATAGGGTCCATGCGTATCCACACCACATACCAATACCAATTACCCATCTAAAATTTCTACCAATACCTTCCTTATTAGTATTGTTGGTTAGTAGGGGCTGTTCTTTCCTACATAAACACTCACCTGTCCAGCTGTGACATAGAGTGTCCTCTGGGTAAACAGACCACGTCTTTAACCACCAGTCTTTTCTTCTGAGGAATCAGTCTCTTCCATTTGAGATGACCAGCTTTGTTAGAATATGGCTGAAATACACAGAATAAACCATCAGCGTTACATGTTGGATTCACGAACAGGAGAATATCCTAAAGTAACAATGGGGCAAAACTGTGCAGGAAATGGGAAATATGGTTTCCATTTTGGCAGAAAATAAAGTTTGAAAAAACTGATTGAACTTTGATTAAAAAGCTTAAATCATTGATGATAAATAATGTGCTGGAGACTGAAGTCAACATTTTTCTGACACTGTGGAAGAAAGATTAACAGATTCATCAATATTAAGGTCAAGCCTACAATAAAAATATAAAGTAGTAGTAGTAGTAGTAGTAGTAATGTAGAAAGAAAAAGTTTTAATACACTTGAAAGTGTGAATTGTGAATATTTTCTGAAGGAAATTTTATTTAAATCTTATGATGTCTAATTCATTTTTCATTTTTTATTGTCCGCCTGGTTTGGGATGAAGAACCAAGTTCATATAATACACACGTTAACCAATGTTAGGGAGGCAATTTAAGCTCCTTGAGGCGACTGTTGTTCTGATTTGGTATGAACTGATTTGAATTAACATTGCTGTGCTTTGTTCCAATTCCAGTAGGAGAACTGGACCACTGCACCATATAGTTATATACTGTTTGCACTGCTCTCACTGTTTGTATGCAGCATCCCTGCTCTAGAGTCCAGGCTGCAAATCAAATGCCTGAGTCGGTGATATGTTATGAAGAGTCATGACATATCAGTAATGAATAAAGGATCCCCTGACTTTACCATTGCTGGATGACTCTTTGACTTTCTGATAGAAGGAATCACCTACAGGAAGGAAAAACAAGAAGGGTGAATAAAAACAAGAAATGTGAACTAAAAAAAAAAACAAAGGAATACAAATAAGATGAACATTGTAGAGAAGCAATAAAGTAAAGTAAAAACCCATTCCTGGAGGTCCTGACCAGCTATTTAGCATGGGATGTCTTTTTTTCTACTACAAATTTCTTACTTTCTTACCAAGTGGTTTATAACTTCTGCCTTATTACTAACCTCCAGCTCTATCTCTACTTCTTGTTTGCAGACCACAGCAGAGCAGTGAGGTTCTTCCTGGTCTGGGGAATCTGTTTCAGCCTGGTGTCTGGGTTGAGTTTGGACCTGCTGCTCAGGGGCTTCCTCGGAGTCGGAGAACAGAGGACTCGCCATGTATCGCTGTGTACAAGAGGAGGACAAGGAGCTGGCTTGTTATGTATGAGCACGCGAATGATGCAACAAAAGAATATGTGAGTCCGCATCATTAACCATCAGGCAGCAAAACACCATTGTTGTTTTGAATACATGAGTTGTAGTTTCAACATTGTGGAGCCACTACAACATCAGAACAATTCTACTCACCGCAATGATGAGAGCTGATTAATCACAGTGTTTTGAAATTATGGCTTTGGCTCTGGTTCAGTTGTCCTTTTGCTTGATTGAACAGTTTCAGTGATGTATCTGAAGCAACACTGATTGTTGGAATAACAACAATCAGTGATATTAGATCATGTTGTGGCTTGTAGTCTAACTTGGTGCTTTTTGCTTGACAGGTTTGACAGCAGATTGTTATTTAGCTGTACCAACAGAATTTCATCAATTTGATATCAGAAATTCTTGAGAGAGTAGTAGTAGTAAAGCTAATCATCTACAGAAAAATGACTTATCTGAAGAGTTTCAGTCAGGTTTCAGAGCTCAGAGTACAGAAACAGCTTCACCAATGGTTACAAATGGTGGCCTCTGACAGTGGCCTCATCTTTGTGCTTGTCCGGCTAGAACAGATTGATACTGTTGACCATAAGATTTTATTACACCAATGAGAACATGCAGTGGGTATTAAAGGTACTGCACTGCAGTGGAATCATATCTTTCTAACAGACTCAAATTTGTTCATTCCATTTACATTAAACATGTTTCCTTTAGGCCAGAGGGCCACTTGCGTCCCACGTCATCCCTATATCGGCGTAAAGAAATATAATGCAGTTTGGCTCTTTAAGTTTTTGTTTTTTTTGTTCAAGAGGATTTCTTTGTTGTTGAATGCAACGTTAAAATAAGTTCTTTAAAAAGCAAAGAAATTATTTAATGATGGCAAACGTGTCGAGTGATTGTCTGTGTTAGTTCAGTGAGAGTTATTCGCAAAGAAAACAATTTTCACTTGCAGTCAATAACTAATGTCTGCATTATTATTTTGATAGATTCAAACAAAGTTATAGCAGAAGTGCTGCCATGTGTCTGGCCAGAAAGACAGTACCAATTTGTTTATTTGGCAGTTCAATGAAAGTCTTCAGTTTGTTAAGAGTGAGAAGAAAAAATGTGCGTTTTCGTGATTGATGATGATTGTTGTCTTCCCATTCATTTTCTCTGTTGTACCATTATAGGGTCTACCTTACAATATAAAAAGTGTCTAGGGGCGACTGTTGTTATGATTTTGCACTGTATAAATAAAATTGAAGATGAAGATGTCTTGTTGATGCTAGAGGTGAGAAAGCATATGGGCTACAGGAGCAAAAGTCCACACCAGGTGCCACTCTTATCAGCTAAGACCAGGAAACTGAGGCCACAATTTCCATGGTCCCAGAAAGATTCAGGAACAGAAGATTGGAAAAATGTATGCATGTATGATGTAGGAGACATCTTCTAACACATTTGGTGCTCTTGGTACCAACTGAGAAAATGCCACCAACTGGGATGTGGTAGAACAAGAGAGTGTAGCTGACAAATCTGCAGCAATTATGTTGTTGAAAAATACCATGAAAGCAGTTCTAAATTGAAAAAGGGTTTCCATCCCAGTACCAGCAAGGTGCAAGTGAAAGTAAAGTCTGAATGGAAACGCAGAACAATATCTATACATCTACAGTTCTACATACAAAGTAAAACCAAACAGGTTTGGTGAGTATCTAAAGCAATACCTCTCTGTACTGTCTAGAAGTAGGACGTCAACCCTTTAAGGTGTATTTATATGTTAGTTCTGAGGTTAGTCAAAATATATTGGATCTGATTATGATATACCACCACTCTGCTCATCATATGAGCTTCAAAAAGTTTCCTGATGGGGTCAGCACTATTTATAAATCACACATAATGTCTTGTAGTGAAGTATTTAAAAAGACACACCTGGTGAACGCTGTATTCCTCCTCTTCCTCCTGTGTTATCAAGACCTTACAGGGCTCCTTGGAAGAAAACACTTTCATTTCAATGTTTTCTTTAATGACCAGTGACACTGGTTTTTTCCCACACGCCATCCTTCCTAAAATGACACCGTTTACGGTATCTAACCTTTGCTTGTTCTTTATTTTGTCCTTATTCTTATTACCTCTTTTTTGCAGGCTTCTTGTGACTCAAAGCTGATTTCATGCTAATTAAGTGTTCTCTTGCTTAGCTGAGAGGGAACCACCAAACATCTAAACAGGTGAAGTTTCATTACCTCAAGCTGCAACCTATCAGTCTAAAGCTGTGGTTGGCTCACAGTTGTGCTCTCAGGCTGTGATTGGTCGTGTGGATAATCTAGAAGCTGATATTTGTGGGAGTTCTGTTCAAAAACAGTGTGACCTTTGAAAGGACGGTTTGTGTATAGGAAATGAATTACTGCTGTACCACGTGTGAAACAAAATAAAAAATGAAATGGAAAAAAAAGCTCTGCCTGATTCAAAAGTAGCTTTAGAAGTACAACATGTGGCCCAATCAATGCAACTTTGTCTCTGTAGAGCTTGAAGGAGACATTCATTTACCTTATTAAAATATGGACTGCAAGGAGAAAGTCTGTAACACATTATTTCAGAATCCATATTTTTATTTCCTTCTTTAAAATTATTATTCAGGCTTAATTTTCATTCACTTCAACTTTCCTGTTAAAAGTACTGCAAAAATTTATTGTTACAACATGTAAGTTTACAAGGAAGACATTTCAGGACCTTTGATTTGAAACAGTGTAAAATAACAGCTAAAAAATGATAAAGAAATGACTTAGGCTTAAGCGTGAGCTTTGGTAGCAGGTACTAGGAAACAATGATTCCATATCTAATTATATTTATTCATTTCACTGAGACTGTGGCGAATAATAAAACCCCACACTGAACAGTCTTTAATCAGCAGGATCAAAAACTGAATATTTACCATTTAATATCCTTCATGAGGTTCAAATGGATCCGATGAAATGTCACATGGAGTTAGTATCTTTGTGTATTTCTTGAAACTTAAATCAGGAAATTTGTTTTCACATGGAAAGACCTGGTGTTGGATGCTTTCACCAACACCACCTTCTTTATGCTTTCCCCCTGATTCCTTCAATAATGTTTCACAGGGTCAGACAGAGCTCAGGGTCCTCTTGGTGGCACCCAAGTGTCCATCAACAGTCTGGTTCCCTACTCCCTGCAGGGTCTTGAACAGGGACCTGTGGCAGCTCAAAAGGAGAATGGACCTTAGCTGTAGAAATATTGGTATGGCATTCATCTCCAGGTTTTTTCCAGCCTTACAAATGCACTTGAAGGGAATCTGTCATTCTTGACTGACCTCAAGCCCTTAGTTTATCATACCATGCAGAATTTAAGTTCTTCTCCAACAAGGAGACCATGTCAGAGGCTCTGGGCTGCATTATCTTTGCAGTACAGAAACTGTGATTTGGATTTGCTATATCCACTCCAGTCATTGCATCTGAAAGTACAAGGGATAAGGCTCTGTTCAGACAGTGACTTTCTCACTGGCTTGGTGACACAATAAAACAAGAGTATGAAGCAGCACATGTGCCTGCCCCCCAGGGGAAATCTGCGCAGTGACATCCCAGACAACATTTTACATATTCACTAGGTTCTACTGTCTTAATGTGGCCTTTGGGTCCATGCTGTGATCAAGTGTTCTGCCATTAGCATTTCCTCCTATTGACACTGCTTTGTCCCATCATCACCTTTCATTTCTAAGGTTTTACATATAAAAATATAATAAAAATTGTCTGGTCTATTTTTTTTTTTAAACAATTGGGTAGATATAACCTCAGGTGAACAACATATGAAATAATGTGCTGTCATTATTTAAGAAAAGCTAAGCCAAATGCAGAAGGTGTAAGTGAATCGCTAAAAACACCTTACTGCTGAATTAAAAAGGAAAGCAGCAGCCAGGTGCTTCTATTCAAATGCTTTTGGTTAACCGACTAATTTTCTAACTATTTAAAGTTCATGCTTGTGTAGTGAGATTCATTAGTGGAAAGACTTGCTAGTCCTCTCTGGAGTAGATCATCATTACTCAACCAGCTAAACATGTTAAATGTTTATTTTATTTTGCATTTTTGTTAAATAAACAATTAAACAGTGGAATCTGTTGTGTGCAATTTTACACCTGAGGTTATATTTAAATTATTTTAGAAGCTGCTAAAGACCAGATTATTTTTAAAAACCATGTTCTGATATTAAAAGAAAAAAAAACATCTGACAGAGGGGGTTTTCTTTTAACTATGACTGCAAGCTATCCACTTTGTTTACTGCCACTTGCAATCAGGAGAGAAGGGAGCAGAAATTATGATGGTGGTCCTGTGTTTCCTGATAATGGTGATTCGCGGCAGTCACTCCAAATGTCTTGGACAAGATTCTGAGAAGCCGGGTGTGAGCTACGAGTTGGTATTTCTAATGTTACCTTTGTTTATCACATTATCTAACTTCCAAGAAGTCTTGTGCATTTCCTTTTCACTGTCATGGAATGCATACTGCTCCATGCACCATCGTTTTCCCTGAGATGACTGGAGGCTGATGTGTGTCACAAGTTTGTCCCAAAAAATTGATTCTGTTCATCTGGACGTAGCATTTTCAGTCGGAGAAACGTTTCATAACTTTTCCAAGTTCTTCAGTCTCAGTTAACTGCAGGTTTTTCTTATAAACAGTACATTTGCATAATGACTGAAACTAGCACCACTGAATGAACAATGGGCTGTGAGGTCAGTTCCCTTGATGCAAATTGTCATGACCATTGAGCAACAACTACTGATCAATGGCCATGAGTACAATTCACAGAGAGTTGGGGAATGGCTGCAATCACAGCCTTGTAAGATGGCAAAAGATGGACCCTTTGGCCCCCTCCTCGATTGCCAGAGATGGTCTTTCCCTTTTCACATAAATGGCCTCCTTGACTCCCCGTTCAAACCAGCGTTCCTCCCTGTCCAGGATGTGTACATCCTCATCAT